ACACATATGTACATTCAGTATTTAAGTGATTTAATGAAGTAGAAAGAAAATTTGAATTTTTTGCTAAGCAACGAAGAACCAAATCATGCACACATACTCGTACAAAGGCAACATATCACACATACAAAATCAATGCTGTGCTCGACTTCGCGGCATCGCTCTATGCTTTTTTCATTTTCATTTTTATTTTATTTGACTGCTAAAATTGTGAGAAACGAAGCAAGGAAACGAGGAGTCATTCGGCTACAGTTATGGCTTCTGTGCATTGAATTTTCTGTGAACTTAACAGCAAACTAGCGGGTTGTACCAGTATGACCCGCCATAYAACGTGTACGAGATGCGCATTCTATATTACTTCATATTCTCTGCTCCTACTCATTGTTCTCTGCTCAGTTAATTTCATGTGACAAACCGGTATTGTGTTCACTTTGAAATTGTGAAAAAAAATTAAAAATATAAGTTATTCGTTTCCTAAGATTTCAATTGGAAACCATCAAATCATCACGTGTATTGTGCAAATTTTTATTCAGTTTCAACAGCAAGCATTTGTCGTTAAGGTGGTAAGTTGAACTGTGTAAATTATGTGGATCGTGCTTTTGAAGTTAAGTTCACCACTCTGTCCATAGTCCAAAATGCCTAGAGGACGACGCACAAGAAATGCAAGAAAGCAACGAGTGTATTCACGGCTTCATGCCGACCAATCAGTAACACCAATACAATGAATTGCAACACATAACAACTACAAAAACAACATACACTACACCATAACACGATCAGAAGTTACACCGTATTCTTCAACAAATGATTATTTGCAATTACAGATACAAGGACAAATATATCATTTGCATGGTTCAATATATTTCATTTCGTCGAAATATATTTCATTTCGTCGATGGTGGATCAGCTGAATGTGCGGTGCAATATACAGGAAACACAACAGTTAAAGAGACGAATTATTGAACAGTTGCAAGCATTTTTTCACGCAAGCAAATTTGTCATAAGAGTGGATTGTACCCCAACAGGTGAACATGTGCGTAGATTCTACGCACCCACTGTTAATGATGTTGCTGTAATTATTGTTGGCAATCCAACTAAGTCGCGAGACATTGTCGTTCAGCGAATAAGCAATATCATGCATCGTGTAAACGAGACACATCGTCCCTACGTCGCTTTACAATATTCAATCATTTAATGGCAAGGGCAAGATGGATACGACATCACGTGGAAGATGGTCGATCCAATTACAGGTACAATTTTCACAGACTAATTATTGCTATTATTGGTTTCCATTAACAAYTCATTTAATTTTGCATTTTCAAGCGTATCAACGAATAAAAATCTAAGCGCTATGATTTATTATGCGTATCGTATGATGATTCGTACACATGAGGAGAATGTCACTCTAAAGTGCCGTCGGCTATTCCAACAATTCGCTGTCGGCATGTATGTCCAAGTCGATATTCAATATACACTTACGTGATGCTATTCATTCAGATGGTGATGTTCGGAATATTGAACGTCTGACGATTCTCCCATCATCTTATATCGGAAGCCCCCGCCACATACACGAATACGCTCAAGACACTACGACGTAAGTGCGAAATTATGGAACTCCGGATTTATTTATTACATTCACATGCAATCCGAAGTTGGCGGAAACTGAACGTGAACGTTGGAACCGGGTCAAAAGCCGAAAGATCGCCATGAAGTAATCGCCAGAGTATTTCAGCAAAAACGTAAGGTTATGATGGATGTGCTTACTAAGTATCGAGTTTTTGGTTACACACCCCCTCATGTTCATATCCTAATTTGGTTCCTGAACAAATTACTTCAAATGAAGTGGATGACATCACGTCAGCTGAAATTCCTGATCGACTCACTGATCCCCATCTACACGACATTGAGACGACGCAGATGTTGCATGGACCGTGCGGTGCATAAAATCCATTATCGCCTT